TTTCCTGTGGTTACATTTTAATCCTTAGGAAAAAGAGTGGATATTGAGAAATACACTGTTGAACAAAAAGGCCATATTAAGATTATTGATTTACCAAATTATATGAAGACAATACTATTAAACATAGGTAATTTGATAATAAACATCGGTATTACTTTTATATGCTTTTAAACTTCTACATGGTTTTCTCTACCAACAGTTCATTAATAAAAAATGGATGCATAATTGGAGTTTTGATCTCATTCTCCTAGTTCAAATCAGTCACCTCAATGGCAATCAGATATTAAACACACTTTATTATTCATCAGTGCCTCTGAGTAGAGAAATGGAAAATCTGTTCCAGTTACTATTAAATAAATATTCCCTACTGATAACTAAATGTAGTTATTTCTGATAAATTTATGAAAAAGAAATAAAATGAATATAGATACCTTTTAAAGGAATTCATTAGAAAAACTTTTTCAAGAACCCTGTTAACCTCTTTCAATGTCCTAAGGGGCTAGAGCTCACTGACAGCCCTGATGGTCGCTATAGGCCATAATCTCCTAATTCACTAAAATTCTTAATTGCCCATCTAAGCATCTCTAAATGTTTTCTAAATCTTGGGTTATAATAATATTACTTGCTCTAACATATGCAAATTCATTTCCAGTTTTTAACTTAACATTATTAGAGATCATTTTCCAAAAAGAGTTATGCAGCACAAGAGTACAATCTTCCTTCTTATTCTACTATGCAATTCATAAATAAGTCTGAATGTCCAGTACTATCATTCAGTCAAGGCTTTTCTACCCCTGTAGTGACACCAGCAAACATCCATCACAAGTACCCTTGGCTACCAAATTATTATTTCTCCATATTACTCAGATCATAATGTGATTTACCCAGGAACAGGCCATTACTTTTCTTTCCAATGACAGAGACAGACACTCTGTATTAGTAAGATCATTTAATGAAGTTGTTCCGTAAGGACCTTATGTTAGAGCAGTTCAAGCAGAATATACATTTTCCTGTCTCTAAGGGAGTAAAAAAGAATGGCTATGAATTTCTCCTCCCTGGTTGAAGCTCTTTTAATAGACAATAAAGATACCACAATTGTCCATAAAATATTACTGCAGACCTTTTAAATATTTTCACAAATCTGTTCCTTCTACAACTCTATTTTATCCCTAGAGCATTAGCATTAGTATTAATGAATACATATTTATTTATTTATTTATTTATTTATTTATTTATTTATTTATTTATTTATTAGTGAGAGCCAAAGTATCTTGGTATAAATTTGAGCACCATCACTTCCCTACTGTAAAAAATAAACCTGGGAATATGTATAAAAATAATAGCAAGAGGTTATGGGTTCAATATCATCATCTTTCTTACCATTTTGTAATTTTTTTTAAGTAAAAGTGTATTTAATTCCAAACTTTAAAAACATACAAGCAAATGTTCTCATTAATAAAGGACTGAAAAGCTAATTCTTCCATTTGAGCATGGATTAATTTCAGGCATTTTTTTCCTCTGTCAGTTTGCTTCATTTATTTTGTGTGGTTAAGAGGAAAATGTTCTGAAAAGATAACAGGTTAAATTATATTTGGTGTAAATCTACATACTACAAACAAAGTAGTCTACATTCTATTTTAATGTGACAAGTCCCTCTCAATGTAGAAAAATGGATCTTAGATAATTGAACCTAAGTGTTAATTTCGGAAATAACTTAAAAAGTCTTCAATTCTCTTAGCATTTGATAGGTGAGACCTACTACTTGCCTAGCACAATTAGATGCTGTAAGATAGTAGAGTAAGACATAATAAATAAATGTCTTTTTATTTTTTCCTTTTGTGTGCATTTTTGTTCTAGACTATTAGAAACAATAACATTAAAAGAGACTTTCATACCTTTAAAAGTTCTATTCTCATTAAATATACTTGTGAGAAAGCTCCTCTTAATTCCTTTCCCAGAAGAGGCCCTGAAGTTAATTAAAGATGGGATTACGGTTACACACAGCACAGTGCCTTGCACACGAGGTAGGCTATAGAGAGAAGCCTGTCTATATAAACAAGACTATTTCAGACTCATCATTTCAAACAAAGTCATTTCCAAGGGTAAAAAAAGTAAAATATATCTAGCAAAAGAATTTCCAATTTATTCCAGAAAAACTAGTGGGCTCATTCAACTTTGCTTAGTAAACCACTGCATTTCAGGTGCCTTCACTCCAGAAAGCTGATGGCAGGAGAAGTGTATTCTATTGATATGCATATACCTGGTGTCTATAACAGTCCCTTACACATGTCTTAAATAATTGGTTGGGCGGATGGATGAATGGATGAATGGATGAACAGATGGATGGGTGGGTATATGGGAGGGGAGCAGAGCCTACGCAAAGTATTCGGTACCCATATTACATCTCTTTAACATCTTAATATTCCTCTAAATTTCTGGAAATGTGACTCAAATTTCACTCCACTGTACTGTCATCCATCTATGATTCATAAATCATATGCTCTAACTTTGAAATGATGGATTACCTAATCAAACCTCCCAACCAGTGGAAGAATTCTCTGCAATATCCCTGTGAGAGAGTTACTCGGCTTCTGCTAGAGCATCACAAGAAATCCTTTGTCCCAAGGCAACCTTTTTCATTTTTAAAAAATAATTTACTTTGAAATACTTTCAGACTTACAGAAAAGTTGCTGGTATAATACAAAGAACTACCATCTCTCCTTCTGTGTTTCCCCAATTGTTAACACTCTGCTACATATGTGTGCTCAATCTAATATCTAATCTTTCTCTCCCTATTCCTCTCATATAGGTATAAAAAATATAAAAACTCATATACATTATATACATGTATTAGATACGTATATATGGTATATGTGTATACACACATACATTATAATTAGTATTTTCTGAATCATTTGAGAGCAAGCTCTTTTTTAATCCCTCTTAAACATTTCTTTCTTCCTTCCTCCCTCCTTTTTCTTTTTTTTATCTTTTTTTCTTTCTTTTTCTTCCTCCCTCCCTCCCTACCTCCTTCCTTCTTCTTTCCCTTTCTCTGTCTCTGTCTCTATTTACAACCATAAATTCACACTGGTATCTCTAAACCCAATCTAAGATCTCCAGGTTCTTTCTCGTTTTCCTCTGAAATTTTATAAATATTTTCTATACAAGTGAGATACTTGCCTCTCATCTTCAATATATCCACTGATTTATTCATTTACTTACTCAGTATTGATTTGCTCAATGTAACCAACCTCTCTTCTATGCTGGCCATCTCCTCCACTTACCCTCTCTGCCTTTCTACCACCTAAATCCGTCTCCCACTGCCCAGTCCCAGGCTCTTGGATCCAGTGAGTATATCTCTGCTAGGTCTTCTCTCAGTTCCTCCTCCTTCTTTTCACAGCCAGGCACAAGCCTACCACCAGCTCCTTTGCACCAAGATGGGAAGGAGAGGGAAGATGAGACATCTCTTCCTGTTTTAGTAGGTATTAAGAAGCAGTTCTAGAATCTGCCTTCTGAAAATTGTGTCCACTGGTTCAACTGCTACTCTTTTTCTTCATGGCAGCTTTGAAATATTTGAGAATAGGTTATATCTCCCATGAAGCCTCTTTCTTATGCCAGATTTCCCCATTTCTTTACCTGTTCCTCTGCAACATGGTTTCCAGAGCCTTTATCAGTCTGATAATTCTCCAACATTTGTTGATTGATGTATGCAAATATAGATTTCTTTTATATCTTTCCCACATGTGATTGCCATTCAAGAGGAGAGAAAAGCAGTATACATAGAAGTCACAGTGCCTGACCAGGATGCACCTACATGTAGCTGGAATAGGCAGTGCCTTCTGAAAACCTTTCCTCCACCACCCTCTCCACCAACTAAAACATTTGCTTCACTGATTCTGGAAATTCTATTGCTGGGGCTCATTCCATTGACTCTATACTAGTAAAAAGAAGTGAAGAGAAAGTTGAAGCGCAGAACCATGGTCTTTGGAGTAAAACAGACCTGGGCTCCAGTCTCAACTCTGCCATGGACACTTGGGCATTCTTCTAACAGACCCAAATCTCAGATTTTAACCCTATAATAGATATATGATTCTTGGGAGGCTTAAACCAATGAAGTTTTGCCGTTGCTGAACAGAGTAGGTTCCTATATATTGTTATTTCCTTTACTTGTGTGTGTTATGGCAAAATTCTTCTTAAAATATCAATATTTTTGCAAGAACTTTAAAATGCAAATGTGTAGTAGATAATTAAAGTTATATGAATGAATTTATTAATTACTCCTACAGAACCCAATAAATAAAACAGCATAAGAATACTGGTTACCTGGTAGATGATGATATTTATAAAGAAAAATGGATCGAAAAAGTGAGGCATTGTTTCAGAACCAAACATTTCCTACTTGAGCTTCTACATAGAATGTGTCTTATATATAGTCTCAGTCTCTTTGATTTTTTTTTATTTCCAAGCATATTACCTCTTTGGTTGTGCTATGCCACTCAAGAATATGGTAAAACAAAACACAGGAGTAGAACATATGCAGTAATTTCTCAGTAAGTACATGTAAGAATAGATGTAAGTCTGTGAAAATAAATAGGAACAGCTGCTGCTGACAAGGTCTAACTGCATTATCAGAATCATTTAAAAGAAACTAGCTACAGGGGCACCTGGGTGGCTCAGTCAGTTAAGCATCTGCCTTCGGCTCAGGTCATGATCCCAGGGTCCTGGCTCCCTACTCAGTGGGGAGTCTGCTTCTCCCTCTGCCTCTGCCTCTCCCCCATCCCATGCTCATGCTCTAATAAATAAAATCTTTAAAAAAAATTACAAGAAACTAGAAAGTGTGTAAATATATGGAAATGGCTTTCTCAGTTAAGTCTATAGATAGTCACTGTGTTAGTGTTTTTTATATTTAACTTCAAGGCAGCTTTTACAATAAAAATTGATCAAAAATATTTGTCTATCAAAGCAACCAGAAGTGAAACTGGTTAAAATACATTGTTCTGAAAATGTACATTTTTACATAAGACCACTTGGGAATAAACGATGCCAGTTGTTATTGCCCCGTTTAGTCCAATCTATCTTTTATTAAGAATACACAGAAAGTGAAAGGTGATGGATAAAAGCAACATTAAGACATTGTCTGAAAACAAAACCTCCTGAAGTTTAAAAGTAAAGTAAAAGAAAGGCGCAGAATTCTGGATTTCTTATCCGCCTTCTATATTCATACTTCATGTGACAATGAAATATTTATTTCTCTTTCAATTATAACTGCTTCTTATTTCTTTTTATCTTCACTTCACTACTTGTTTCTTGACATAATTGCTTGGCTCTTCGTTCCCGATCCAGAATTTCTTTGGGGAACAGGTTTTTCTCATCAAATACAGCTTTCAAAGCTACAAAATGATGAAGAAAATGACATGGAAATTATACTTGGTAAGAGACCCAATTAAATGAAATAGTGGGGAGAAAATTCTCGTTTCAATTCATCCGAAAATTTGTAGGTTTCTAAAACCAAGGACGTATTTGGGGGAATTTTCTCTGAAGCTCCTGCTATTCCTTTACTTCATTTTAAATTAAAAAGCTAAATTTTAACAGAGTTTGTTCTATTAATGTATTTATATCCTGATAGAGATCCACCATTTCACAGTAGAAGACTAAAGAAGCTTGTGTTTCCCATTTTTGCTTTTTAATCTACTTAACAGCTATCAAAGACTCATAAAAAGCCAAGAACAAATTATTCTGTATTGAAATAAGACAATTAAAATAATCAAAACACAGTTTGGCTGTCTGCATGACTAAACAAGTGCATCTGCAATCACGTCCTTGTAAGAGACTTTGATCTGCAGGGATCTGTGGCTTCAGGAAAAAAAAGAGCCAAATTATCCCCATGAGTGGCTATATTATGCATCAGTGAGAAGTAGGAGGAAATTGTGCCATGCATTCAAGAAAATAATTTTGGCCTTTTGCTTAATTTTATCATTTCAACAAATGTTTACTGAATGTATATTATGCACAATGTTCTATGCTCAGGCGTAAGTGGGGCACAAATATGACTAAGTTGCAGGCTTTCTTCCAACTGGTAGAGAGTAGGAATAGTGCCCAAATGACCAAAATATCAAGGACAATAAGATACAGTTCTAAGAAAATATGAGCAACAGAAACTGTGGTGAAACATATCAAGAGACTATGAGAATAGGCAGAGATCAGAGGAAAAGCTTTAAGAATTAGACACTATTTGAGGTAGATGTTGAAGTCAGGGTAGGATTTGAAATTGATAATAAGGACCATGGACGTGAGGAAGAGTTGGCAAGGCGGAAAGGAAATGTCAACTAGAGGGAACAAAGTAAATACAAGTGTGGAGAAACAAGAGCTACTATTCGGGTAATTCTGAATAATTCAATACAATGTGACCAAAGTTCAAAAATATAGAGAGAATGAGGTTAGAGCAGGAAAAAGGAACACTTCTTATGCCAAGCCCAAGGAATATGACATAAACTACATAAACGTTGAACAACTTCACAGTATCATGCCATCTTTATATATTTGGATTAAAAAAAAAACCCTCTCCACTTACCATACAAACATGATTGTATAAGTCAATATCTTTCCCCTTTTTCTCTTGGATGTTATACAAGAACAACTGGGAAAATGAGAAAAGTATAATTTGGCACACAGACTCCACGTGAGTAAAGCCCAAAGATAGAGGTAACCTAAAGCCTGCAAAATATGAAGACAGGCAGCCAAAGAGCTGACAGTGGAAAGAAGTTACACAAAATAAAGTGATGAGTATGGAAAGTGCAAGAAGGCCAGCAGCAACAGCATCTCAGAAAGTTCTAGCAAAAAAAAAAAATACTCACTAAAGGTGAGGGGCTCACCCTGAAGTACAAATGCTTTATGTTTCATTCATATCCATGGATGTAAACAGAGGTGAACAAGGCTGGAAGCAAAAGCCCTCTACAACACATCGTTGTGTCCAGAGAAATCGATAAGGCAGGACTACATAAAGAATCATGCACATGAGCCATTTTTTGCTAACAATAGTCTGCCCCTGCAGGTTGTAAAAATTGAAGGCCATTCCAATCCTATGTCACAAGCTCTCACCTAGGGACCTGCTACAAATTTCAAGTCTAAAAAATCCAACTCATTAAGATTAACTAATTAAGAGAGGAAAGAAAAATTAAAAAAAAACTGGCATAGCAGGGACACAGACGACTATAAGCAATATTATAAACAAAACAAAACAAATTTTAAAAAGAACAGAACTAATCAATACACAGACCACCACCAGAAAAATGTTGCCACTGGCCAGATATATATCGTTACTGAGCACTTTGTCACAAATTAAATTTTAAAACTTGAAAGAGCTCTTACCTCCATAAAGAAAGATCACAGAGCAGAAGTGAAAGAAGTCAGGAAATGGCACAACAGGAAGTGAGGAAAGTGAGCTAGCAGAACTCAGGAAAAATCCCTCAAGCGAGAATAGACTGTGGGGTAACAACGGGGAGCAGAGTTCACAAATGAGAAAAACAAATATAACAAGATGAAACGTAAGAGAAGAAGAGAGAGGAAAGTGATACTGGAAAAGAAATAGATCCAACAAACACAACAGATGAGTCCTTAAGAAAGAACACCAGAGCAGAATATTGGAAGGCATCATGTATGAAGTTTTCCTTAAATTAGAGACAATCTGACATATATAGGAAGGACATACTGTGGCACCAGGAGGAAGAGTCAGAATAGTCCAACAAAGCATATCTTAGTAAAATAATTAGACTTCAAAGACCATCATTTGGCAGCCAGACAAAATGATCAAGTCGCTCAAAAGGAGAAAAATGGATATCTTACATTAGCTATCTTCAGAGTAATGATCGATACCAGAAGACAGTAAAGCAACACCAACAAGGAAGCCAAGGAAAGAACGTGTGGGGTGTGGGTATGATACACGCCAAGCTGTGCCGCAAATTTAAAAGTTACAAATAGTTTCAACATGCGGGGAATTCGGGGACTAGTGTTTCTAAGAGAACTTTTTGAGAAAATTACTACAAAATAAACTGATAAATGACTGAGGAAAATTTAGAAAAAGATTTAGTGGTGAGACCTGAATATTTTTAAATGTAGAAGTGAGATTAAAATAATACAGAGTTTAGGATAACAAAACAGAAGGTAGAAGCCGCATGCCTGACAATGTAGAAATGATACAATTAACAAAAACTGGAGGGGTAAGGGAGAAGAAGCTTCATTCATGATAAATCAGTGACAGTTAAGAGGCAAAGAACTTAAACCAACAAGTCAAGTAATAGCCGTCGAAGTAAATTTAACAAAATAAAATAAGCTAAAAGAAAGATCGAATTATTGGATAAAATTAGGTAGCACAAGAGGAGGAGAGGAATGAAGAAACATGCTCATTTTATCATCAGTCTGCATGAATGTAACAGTTACTGTTCTAGAAAACTGAAGGGCTAGAAGAATTATATAAACCTATGAGTATAAAGGTACCACTTAAGACCCTTCTGAAATAAAAGCAACAAAAAAATTACAGATCCAGTGAAAAATTTAAAAAATATATAAACAATATATGGCATAAAAGAGTGTGAGAAATACAACACCAAAATATCTAATATATTGATAAATTTAAATGTGCCCAATTTCATGATAAAAAAAACATTTTTTAGTTGGATCAAAAGCAAAACTCAACACACATCTAAAATGGAGCGATTCCAAAAATTTGAAATAGAACGATTGGATAAGCATAGCAAACAGATCCAAACCCAAAGAAAGCAGAGGTCAAAATCTAAAATCATCAATGCATACAGAAACACTCAGAAGATACAGATACACAGAAACTCGAAGAAGTGGGTGCCAGAAATAGATGATACTGGGAACTGGACAAGCCCATATCACGGAAGGGAGGGAGACTTCTCACCAGATAATTTTTTATATGTTCTAATATTTGATTAGTGTGTATTTTGTTTTCTAGCAATAGGACAAAAATGAATAAACCTGGAACTACCTCTTAAGCAAAGCTACAAATGAAAATACTATGCATTTGCCTAATACCAGCAGTACAAGGTCTATGGATTTCCCTACATTAGCAGTTAATTCTGTCCCATATGACTTCAGATTAGCATTTGAGAATCACAAGGCATTCTGAATGCCTTAGAGCTCTCCTGAGATCCACTGTGAAAGGGAGACTGTTTCTTTTGAAATAAACTCTGTTTTACTGAGATATGTCTCTCAACTAGATGAGGAATTTTCATCATAACTGACTGGGTTTCAGGGCAGTGAAACCAATAACTAACTGTTAGGCCCTTGTATATCTAAAGAGAGTCAGTCTTACCTGAATAATTAATTTTTTTGAGTTAAAAAAACAGATGATAAAAAATTCATATACAGGGGCAGATCCCTGTTTCCTGGGCCCAAAGCTTACAATTTGGGGACCTCTCTAAAAATATACATATAAAATTACAAATACATAATTATTCATAAAAATAGCTATTTATTCAGGATGAGAAAATCAATCTCAGCAAACTATTGGAGTTTTGTAGCGTTGGATCCTTTTCTTCTGAGATCTCTCTTTGGAAAGGCACCTGAAATGCTTACCCAGAAATGCTTCCCGCTTGCAGTCTGGCTTCCACTTTTCCCCTGGAACACTAAAACACCCAGCAACTACTAATACTCACAAGGATCTTTGTAGATGAGGCCCATTAAGCAACCTTCTTGGCTTCATTGGCAAACTCTTTTATGTCACAAAAATTATGTCATTAACCTAACACCTTCTAAATGGATAATGGTAATCAATTCATCTTACTATTCAGAGTAACAACATCTGCTAGGTTAATGGCATAATGCTGTCATACGATAATGTGAGTGAGTCTGCAATGATTATGTGGTACATCTGAGAGATCATTAACCGTTTACTGAACTTGTTTCAGGTTATAAAGGAATGTCTTTAACCTTGCTGTGATAACTTGCTTTCTTGAAGTATTAACTGGCAAGGCTGAAGTTCCCAGTTATTCAACCAAACATTAATCTAGGTGTTGCTCTGGAGGGATTTTGCAGATGTAATTAAAGTCCCTAATCAATGGACTTCAAGTAAAAGAGATTATCCCAGATAATCTGGGTGAGCTAGACTTAATCAGTTGGAAGGTCTTAAAAGCAGGGCTGAGGCTTCCTGAAAAGAGGGAAAAAAATTCCACCATTGGACAATAGGTTCCACTTGTACCCATGGAGTTTCATTCTGTCCTTTCCTGACTGTGGATGATAGCTTTAGCCTGTGCTCAGTCGGCCCATGATCTTCCCCTCCTGACTCAGCCCTCACAATCCCATAAGCAAATTCCTTGTCATAAATTTCAATATATGGCCCTGCTCATTCTGCTTCCCTGAACCCTGACTG